CAAACAAATCCTTTGTTTTCCTATCTTAACATAGTTTACCTCTCGATCATGTGTTTCTTGTCAAAATTCGTTACTTGACTCAATTAATAATTATATCGCATAGTTGTATAACGTACAAAAGAAAAATGGAAGCAGCTAACGAATAGAAGTTAGTCTCCACGCAAAAGCGTTCGTAATCGCTTGCTTTTGTGCAATGAAAGATATTTTACGACGGTAGTCGTTACGTAGTGCTTCATTCGCTGGAGCAACGAAAAGTGTAACAAAGCATCTAGTTCTCATGTTATATGTTGCTAACAAGTCACGAAAAATTTTGCTGAAACGTTTTATTTATGTGCAACGCCATCGCTCAGGCGACAGACCAATACCAAAGTTTGAGTCTGCGCACAGCTACAAAGTAGCTTTTCAGTTATCATTGAGGCTATATGGGTTAGTTGCTTGCGACGAAATATGAACTTATGTCCTGCGTTGCTTCATAGATGGCATGAGTGCTACAGTTTTCAGCCTGTCTTTTCCTGGGAAGCGGAGTTTTTCCATGCCACCCTAGTTGGATTATCTAGATGCAAGTAATTTTGTTATTTGATTTTCACGTGGATTATGTTTTGCTGTTATACTTAGGTGTATCATTCATGAAATTGCGCAGTAGAGTTTAAGCTTTGGAATCCTTGGGAAATAGACTATGATGCAGGTATTGTAGACTCAGGCACTTAATGGGGTAGGCATACTTGAACGAGATGTACAATTGTTTTTTGAGACTGTATCCAAAATCTCTTCAAATGTTTTCTAACAATGTATGATGAATACTACGAAGAAATCAACGCAAGAAGCTCCGCAAGGAATAATTAAAAGGAGACTGCATAGTAGGCAAAATTCATAGCGAAAAATAAGAAAATTTGTGAAGGTACTATTGATGACTAAGATACGGCAATTCCATGGTTAAGAAGATTTTTCGAGTATCGATTAAAGGCATGCAAGGTAGGTATAATCGTATTCGTTATTCTGAGTAGTGAATTAAGTGAGCCTCAGCATAGATCCTATTGAAGACTATACTTTATCTCCATAACCGATTAACATATATGCTCGCGGAGCAGAAGCGTTAAACAATGCTTCAAACGATACCGATTTCATGCTAGAGTCTGAGCTAAAGACAACCTGAGCAAACTCATTCGATATATTTGCACCAGGTTAATCGTTGTCGACCCAGAGTCTTCTGTCGGATGACTGGGAAAGAAATTTATGCTTCACTTTCCTTTGAAGACTACATTCTTGTGGTATTTTTTAGAGGTTGCACTTCATTACCTCATTTAACTTTATGTTTCGGCAATCGAATGACTGACTCAGCATTCAGAATGATAGAGAAGAAGGAGATTACCGGAATCTTGTAAAAATTATCTAATAAGTGATGTTTTTAGAGCCGGCAACAGTATTTATTTTTCAGCGCAGATTCATAAGGCTATTCAGTAATTGTCGAATGGCTAATCGAAGACCGGATTTCAAAAGACGTTGTGAATTTGCTGCTGTACGTTTCCCTAATTTTAAGCGTATCAACAGTACTCTAATGTTACCTGCCGATCAGTAAACGGGCGGAGTATTTCGACGGGCTGTTTGTTTTCTAGTATTAGTAAAGTAAAATAATGAAACTGGATCTAATACAACATCCACGGGAACCCGTGGTTCCGGTAACAATAATGCAAAAGCTCCGTGCTGCTCCGGTAAAGCTGAATTTTTGCTCCAGTCAGTTTTTTGCTCTCACCTTTTCGTTCGTTGGTCTTATTCTTGGACCATACATCCTTCACAAAGTCGACAAGGCTGTGGGTAATACGATATTCGAGGCGAATTATGGTTTTTGTTGTGTACGATATTAATTTAGGCTTGAACGAGTTGAACAAAAAAGGAAAGAAAATGCTCAGTAAGCCGTTTATTGCTGCTTTTGCTTGTTTGTGATGTTTTTTCGTCATCATGGTTCTTTGGAGATGTAAAAATGTCGTGTCTTCGGGCCGGTAGAGTTGGCCGCTTTATGCTGCCGTGTCCACTGAAGGTACCTTATTTATGTCCTTGGGTGGTGGCAGCGTGAATGGGTGGAATGTCCACGTTATAGTACGGTTTTGGACACTGTGCAATTGTATAGTAAGGTGCACCAGAGTCGCCTGATGACTATTGCTTCTGGTTCCACTTTGCATTCGAATGTAGTTCATTGCTTTCTCGCAATTCCCTGAGCAGATGGAGTTCGAGCTGTTAGTTTTTTTTGCGTTAAGAATGTGATCGAGTGTTTAATCGTACGGTTTGGGAATATTTGTTTAATGATTCAATTGTTGCTATTGGGGGTTTTGTGATCACATGTTGCATCGTTCTCGTATCTCCCTAATATTTTATCTTGTTTATCTTACTCGTACTTTTAGAGGAATATCGAAAACGCCCAGGCGGTAAGAAGCAAATTCATGCTGATTATCATTACATGAAGCATCAGCTGGAAAAGCAGTGGGAAAACAGTGCGCATTCTGCCTCTTAACGTGTGACATGCTGATATCAAAGGTTTTCGAACGAAAGCGCATGAACGTCACATTTTAGACCGCCCTAATCTGCTTTAAAATTTTTTTGCATGCTGCAACTAACTATTTGTCTGATTCTCAATGTAAATTTATTTATCACTTGGTTTGTGCCTCTGTGAAGCATTTTTAGGCTTGTTAGGAAAGTTGTTTTGTGCAGACAGAACAACCGTTTTTGAAGTAATAAAAGGAAACACGTTGACTGCATTTAAGAGTATCTTGTTGGTGAGCATACGGAAATGAATCCTTGGCTTTATGGCATGTGTAATCGTTCGTTTATGGTCTGTGGCTCGAAGTTCTATTTTTATCATCAACTTTCGAAACTTTGAGTTAGCTTGAGATTCACAGATCTTTTTCCATCAAAGAATAAATAGAGATTGAGCTGCAGAAATCGAGGAGGGTAGACATGTATAAGAAATGTCCGCTAATGTCAGAACAGCGTACTGGTTTGCGGAAGGGCAATTTGACGATGACTTATCCAGGTATCATCTGTTTTGTGCGAAGCCGGAGTACTCATGTATTGCCAAAGAAGAATTGCTAAAGAGAAAGTAGGAATGACTTATATACGCCGAATGGTACACATTCTTACTTTACAGTAATACTGAGTTTCGTTGCCAATCGTTCCATTTCCTTTTCCTCAAATGTCAGACTGTGCGAACAAGGAAGTTTCATTTATTTCCTAGAGGATTATAAGACGTTTTCACTACTAGCAAATTAGCAGTCTCGTCTGCTGGAAGCCGAGTTACAATAAGCTGGAATACGTTAGTGGTTATATAATGAAAGAGGATTCCATAAATCTAGTTCTTCACTTCCACAGTTAGTATGGCACTTGACTGTTACCAAATTACTGATTACCACAAATTATTGAAGTGACTGAAATACTCGGCTGGATCAGTGACGAAGCAAAGATCTGTGGTGAAACCAAAGACCTATTATGCGAAACTCGTCATGAAGCTGTCACTCGTAAAATTTTTCAAAAATTTCGACCTGTGTTGTATTTCATAATGGAAAATCTACTATCGGATACTTTAAATTAATGCACGGCGACGATAGGTGGTCACATCGAATGATTTGACCGAACATCTTGCGCAGAACGCCATTCTGTCTCTGTTATTCTGAAGCTAACGACTTATTAACCGTTTCTCGGCCGGTTGCACTGTGATAAAGTGTCGTAAATTCCTTGCTCAAGGAAATTAGCAGTTAAAATAAATTTGGCCATTTCTCGAATCCGGCACCTCTGGAATTCAAATCTGACGTTGCCATTGTGCAACTACGCCCGTTAATTGTGACGCATAATGTCACGTGTGTACAGAACAAGTAATAAAATGCATCATTCACAATTAGCGCGGCACATCATATTTTCATTACAACAAGTGTTATTTTGATCGTAGTTAAAGTTGGCTTACAAAAATTAAGAGTAATGGGCTATAATGAATAACCTGCGTGGATATGACAAGCGTATCCTAGACTAATCAGAAATGTTAATCTGCCACGACTATCTAAAACGACCCGTCACCTGGAACCAAGTAGGCATTTCACCATGAGTAGAGGCAAGGACTGGGACAGTGAAATGATTGAGTGCAGCACGGAAAGTGCATGCGCAAAGGTTGTTTGTCGCAGCTTAAGACTGGAAGGGCATGTAGTTCAAACCAGGACTAAAGAACAGGATCGGTGAACAGGTGA